TACATTTTAAATAATATTATATTGATAATTAATCAGGAATATGTAAAACTAGGGCACAATTTTGAACTACCATCAGGGACACAGCATACAGTAATTTGCTTAATTCTTTTTGTGCTTTACTCACTGGAGATACTGTTCAAATATAAAAAAACAAATCATATCTTGCAGTTAAAGTACTTTTTTGTTTTTATTTAAATTAAACCTTAAACATCTTAAAGCTACTGTATTTAATCAAAAGTAATACTTTTGATGAAAAAACATGTGACTTGAGGAAAGGCTGAAAGAGTGTAAAAAAATAGGCGTATACACCTGGAAGGAATGAATGTGATCTTCTGATAATATGAGAGAAAAGAGGGAGTTAATTGTTTTTCTTCAAGGAGCTACATGTGATCATGTAATATTCAAAGGGATGGTGTGCAGGAGATGAAAGAGAAAGAAAGAAGGGTGAAAGAAAGAAGACTAGCTTCTGCACACATATTCAGGGATCTCTTGTCACATCTGTCCATGGGTGCTGCATTCACTGTACCGAGTACTGACACATCTGTTCTTGGCAAAGGCAAACTCTTCTGTTGTGCTCTAAAATACTTACACGTCAGTGACTTATCTCACCATCTGGTGCTGAAATGATGGACCTCTGGCCTCACAAGATTATTTAATAACAGCAGCACTTTAACAAATGTACAGTACCTGTGCCTCCAAGGCGACACATACAGTACTGTATGTTTCCACAATCAAGCTTTGATTTTACAGTCCCAGATGAGACGTTCCTCACAATCCTAATGTGATTCTTTTAATCCGAACAGAATTCCCTTGGCAAACCACTGCATCTCTACTTTCTCGAATTAGTGCTGCTCCATATGAAGAGTTATTTAAAAAACATGGTATGAAATAGACTTACAGAGATTTTGAAGAAAAATAACATTTGCTCTTTCTGTTAGCCATTGCATAATGTGGATTCTGGTTGTTTACTTTTGCTTCTTATTGAAACCAAATGAAATATAAAATTCGCTTTAGAAAATAAACTTCCAGCAATGGGGACATAAAACTCTGATTCAGCTCTTACTGTGGCCAACACTGGCGGGAAGGAACAAATCAAAATGATTGATAATAAAACATCCAAGTATTTAATACTAATGCATTTTCTAATTGCATTTTTGATCCTTTTACAAGTACTTGACTAAAACAAATCTAGTCCAACAGTACATTTTAATATTAAATCTGTTAGCAAGAAATACAACCTGACAAGAACTGACAAGTTTTGATTCATATTTACCCTAGGGTAACATCAGAACGGATGACACAGTTAATACTGCATCCTTGATTATGCAGTCATACACTAAATATATTGGAAGCAACACTATTAGAATAATGAGGTATTTTTAATCAATTTGAACACATCTGTATACAAATAAAGCAGTCCTTCCTAAGCAAAAGGCCAAAGCTACTGTACATCAGAGTGGCTAAATATGAAATGGCTGAATATAAAAGAGACCCTTGAATGATCTAGTCAAAGTCTTGATTTGAATCCTATCGAAAATCAGTGCATAGACTGGAGAACTGCTGTTAATAAGTGATCCATGAGTATCTTGAGAGGGTTTGAGCAAAACTGCTAATAAGAATGGGTACAAATTGCACATGTTGGTAAGAGTCTTAGCCACAAAAGACTTGTGGCTGTTAAAGATACTTCCACCAAATGTTGAGTTCACAGGTCTGAATATTTATGCAATCAACATTTCATTTTTTTCTCTAGTTGTTAGAGTCATTTGTTTTGCTTACATTTATCTTATGCTTCGTTCTCTTCAGTTTTAGGGTTTGGGATTTCAATCAAATATTAAGTTTATGTGCAGTATGCATCGTTTATGCAAAATGGGACACCAAAGAAAGGGTCTGACAACTCTTCCAAGGATCTTTATATAAATATATGATTTTATGTTATGGCTAGGAGCCCATGCAACAAGAAGCTTTCATAATATTAGATACTGTAGCTGGTTCAGGACATTAAATTGTGTATTGATGCATCATTTTCTGATATTTAATGGCTGTAGTTTATTTTTTAAATTCAAATGCAGGATTTGTGTAGGAGCTATACTGTATCATTTAGTACTTTGTTTTTCTTATGATTCTGGAATAGTACTTGTAATATTACATAGTTGCATAGTACTATTACATAGTACTATTGTAATATTACAATAGTACTGTAATTACAAGTGACACCTGAAGAAGGCTCCACGGCCGAAACGTTGTGTTCTCTTTCTTTTTTTCAGCATGGAATAAACCTATTATTTGTACTTGTAATATTACTGCCCTCTATGGACAGACCTTTTCAAACCCAGTTGTACTAAAGTCCATTATTACATTTTTGAAATACTTAAGTACACCTTTGTACTATACATTTCTTTGGCCTATGAATCTCAATAACTAATTGTCACTTAGAACTTACATATACCTTTAAATTGAGATAGTTATTCACAATGTAAATAAGAATATAATAGTCATAGCAGTCAACAGTCAGGCAGGAGAAGCATTTTTGCATTAGAAAATTAGAAAATATACAGTACTGTATACACAGGTTGCACAAAGCAGAATTAGTAGATGTGACAGCTCAGACATAAACGTAAGAGGTTTAGGAGGACAGTCATTTTTTAAGTGAAAAAGTATTTTTCTAGTAATGGTCAATTTGAAACCTCAAAATGTCTTGTCATTGTTACAGCTGTACCTTCTAAAGCTCTGCTTTTCTTCTTTGTGTTGTGGAAATGAATGACAATGTCTCATCTATCCTTCACCTCCCTAACAGAATTCTTTGTCTGCATATTATGGTTTTTCAAGGCTCTAAAGAGTTACTGACCTCAAACTTTACTTTTAAATAAATCTTGAACACATTCTAAAGTGAAAACATTTCAGAGAAATACTGCATCTTAAACTTTCCCCATGCCTTCTGCACATAAGTAAGCATGAATTCTTTGAGGTCTGTGACTATACAGTACATATTAGTGGTCCTAATAGATTTGGCAGCTTTACAATATACTTTACATTATTATTTACAATATCCTTTGAAGTGGCATAATGCCCAATAAGAGATCTGCTGACTCCGTTTAGAGGTAGGTTTGGAGCATAATTCAAAAAAAGGTGAAAAGTGGACTGAGTCCCGTGGTGCTCTCTCTGGCTTCATTTTGTTTTCTATAGAACAGGGGTTCCAAAAATATAGCCCAAGGGCTGACTCAAGTTCACCCAGTCCATTTGTTTAGGCTGTGTGGCAGTGGAAGAGCCACTCTATGGGATTTAATTCACACAGTGCCTGTGTGAATTAAATCCCATAGAGCAGGTGCCCTCGGAAATGTTATTGTAAGAGTATTTTCCTCACAGCACTCCTCTTGGTTCTCTACCTGCAATTACAGTGTTGTAGTCCCATAGTTTACCAACTCATGTGCATGAAAAATATCCATCCATTGTTTCTAATGGTCTCTTAACTAGACATTTTTTAAGGAAAATTAAATTCATTTTACAGCTGACTTATTCCAGGGGTCTAGAAATTTAGTAGTCACAAATTCTGAATTGCCAAAACATGAACAGTATTGTATGTTTGATATTTAGCCCATTTAGCTTACTATCAAGGTTAACAAGATAAAATGTGTAAAAATGTTATTGTTGAAATACTGGCACAGTGCAGCTAAGTTCAAGGTAAAGCAAATGTCCATTGACTGCTTACCTTTTTCAATAATTTCAAGCACTTCTTATAATATACTTATATTGTAACAGCCAGGGTAAATGCTTTCCCGAAGTATCTCAACAATATTATTTTTACAGGAGATTCAGGCAATGTGCAATAATCACAACTGTGACTTTTTAAACAAGTATGACTATTAATATGAGAATACAAGAAATATCTCTTACACAGAAGGAAATGAATGTATATTGCTAAATTGCCATCTAGTGAAGGCACGATGTCTGTTGATTGAATTTCATAGGGAAATATTTCAGTGTAAAAAACATGAGAAACACTGCAAATACTATATACAAACTAATACTAATACTAATACAAACTACTATATTTTTCCTTTGACTTGTCATGTGAAATGTATGACACCACTGCTTTGGAGATTGTGTAATTTATCATTTCTGAAACATAATGGAGCCTTGCTAATCCTCTTCCTGTACCCCCCTCTTCCAGACCACTACTCTGATTGGTTTGCTGAAGACAGCCCGCCTGCTGCGACTGGTACGTGTGGCGCGCAAGCTGGACCGCTATTCAGAGTATGGTGCAGCGGTATTATTCCTGCTCATGTGCACCTTTGCCCTCATTGCCCACTGGCTGGCCTGCATCTGGTATGCCATCGGCAAAGTGGAGCGCCACTATTCCAAAGCACCCCGAATTGGCTGGCTGGACTCACTGGGGGAACAGCTGGGCAAGCACTTCAATGACAGTGACCCAGGTTCTGGTCCCTCCATTAAGGACAAGTATGTGACTGCACTCTACTTCACCTTCAGTAGCCTAACCAGCGTGGGCTTTGGCAACGTTTCCCCCAACACCAACTCTGAGAAGATCTTTTCCATCTGTGTGATGCTCATTGGCTGTAAGTACATTCCCACACCACACCTATAAGCATTAGGTAGTCAACAACTGTGTGCTGATAAGGCTGCTAGCTACTGTGAGATTGAGAGGGAGAGGTAAAGTGGGGTATTCAATCTCTGATTCATTAGGTATAATATAAAAGATTATACATCTACAATATGAAGATGTAGACTGGTGAAGTTGGAGTTGATTGCTGAAGAACTTTCTTTTGGATTAGTTGATAATAGGTTATTGCCAATCTCTGTCCCTGAAAAGGGCAAGAGTTTTATAATTAAGATTAATGAGCAAACTGGATTCTGAGAGCCACCAGATATCTCGCCACTGCCTGCTCAGCCACTGATGGATCCAGGAAAGGATTTATTCCACATAGCTTGACATTCAATAGTGGAAAAGACTCCTAACGTGATTAAATCGCATGCAACAATGAACTCTCTGAAGCTTAAAGAGATTAATCACTTCCATTTACCTTCTTTATCAGAGGATTTCTTTTTTTTCCAGAGCCAAGAATTTTAACAGCTGACAACAGTTCCTTTTGCACTCTCACTGTTCTTATCCTGTTAATATTCTACATGCACAGTATATAATTTAGCTACATGGACTTTGCTGATCACTTCACCATCTTGTGACCCCACTGAGAGAGTTTTGCAAGAGTTCACTGACACAGTTCGGTGTTCCTAATTCATGCTGCTCCTTACAGTACATCATGAAGTGTATCCAGTTTTCCATTCTGCCCGTCTCCTTACTTTTATCTCTGTTGGTCTACCTATACTGCCTTTCATCATTCCAGTTTTTTTCTGTTTCATGTTAAAGCTTCCCTTGAATCTCTCGAGTCATTCATCTTTCACCACAAGCTCTCTTTGCCTCTATTGCCCTCTCAGTCCCTTAGATGTAGCCTGTTGCCCACTCTGTCTTGTTTTTCTTCCTGTCATTGTCATTTTAATTTATGGCACTCATCTTAATTCATCTTAATTCTCTTAAAATTAACTCCCATCTCTCTTCTTCATGGTTAGTCTGCTTTAAAGTTATCAAAGAGTAGCCTGCACTATAGATCACCACACCACAGAAGATCTCAAACTTGAACATTCATCCTTCCATGACAGCCAATTATCATGCAACCTTGAAACTTTACAGATAGAGCACTTCTTTGAAAGAATCGTTTCAGAGTTTTAGAGTCTTGGCCTTAAAACATGAGCAGCCTTGTTAGGCAGAATTATACAATTACTCCACAGCATGGCATTTTACCAGGTAATTCAAGATCAAGTGAGAGTTTACTTTACACAATGGGTTGTACAGGTATGTTACAAGCTACCCAGGTGTGTGGACTATAAAACATTAGAAATCAATGAAGTGCAATGCCTTATTTGAATTTTTCCTTTTGTGTTTTATGAGATCATTCTCACAACCTAATCATTCTAATAGACTGGCTAATATAGGTTACTGTATACAGGTATATGATATAATTGATTGTTGCTTTCCCAGGAAAGAAGCCTTTGAAACATTGCATATTTCTATAACAGGATCCTGCAGCATCAAGCACTTTTGTAAAGATTTCACACACTAGGATGTTATCATACATATTATAAACATGCCTAAAACATATATTATATCAAAAAGTTTGTGTCAATCTTGTTTTCAATCAAGCAGCATTGATTGTAATATCAGATAACTTTAAATGCCCTTGATTTGTGAAATCATGATACGTTTTATAATGACACATTTTAAGGCGGTTTATATATATATTTCTTTATACTGTAAATGCAGAATTATTCATACATGTGCATTCCCAGAGCTACTCCTGAACGCTATAAATAATTTGAGAAATCTGGGAAATCCCTATATTATTGTATTGCAATGCAATTCTGACACCTTCTGGATTTAAAATGTAAATTGTAAAAGTATTGCATAAATCAAAAGGGGGCAGCTCCTTAATCTGGCTATTTTTACTCTGCATACTAGTTTCTCTTTTTTAGTCTCAGGTTTTTTGATTATCTTGGAATTTACTTCAGTCTTATCACACAGTCTTTTTGTTACTCTTAACTAGCTTTCATTTTTACGCTGACGATACTCAAATATACATCCATACCAAACCTGACACTGATGTGGCTGTATTCTATCTAATTGCATCTCTGACATAAAAATTTGGATGACTCAAAACTTCCTTCATCTTAACTGTGACAAGACTGAAGTCATGTTTATTGGTACCCCCCATCAACTTCGTAAAGCCAGTCCTGTAACCCTATCCGTAGATGGCTCTGTACTAAAGCTTCAATCAAAATTGAAAAACCTTGGGGTTATATTCGATTTTGGCTTTACATTCGACCCACATGTACAGCATACTGTCAAAACATCTTTTTTTTCACCTTAGAAATATCGCAAGACTACGCCCTATGCTATCATTAACTGTGGCTGAAAAGCTGAACAACATGTTTGTATTCTCTCAAATTGACTACTGCAATGCTCTACTCGCTGGGGTATCTAAATCTACTCTAAACAAACTGCAGTATGTCCAAAATTCAGCAGCCAGAATCCTGACCAGGTCTAGTGCAAGTGTTCACATTACTCCTATCCTGGAGTCCTTGCACTGGCTTCCGGTCAAATTCCGCGTAGACTTTAAAATCCTCATGCTCATCTATAAGGCTCTACATGGCTTGGCACCTCAATACCTTTCTGAACTATTATCGCCCTACTCCCCACCTCGAAACCTCCGCTCTTCAAATTCTGCCCTCCTTACTGTCCCCCAAGCCCGTCTACATTGTATGGACGACAGGGCCTTCTCCTGATATGCCCCCAAGCTCTGGAACTCTCATATCAGAAAGTCACCTTCTCTAAACTCCTTCAAATCCAGACTCAAAACCTTCTTCTTCAGAAAAGCCTTTACTTAACTGGTTCCATTCTTCACCCCTCTGCTCTTCTTAGTACCACCTTCCGTGGTCTCCTCTATTGTTATTGTTGTATTGCTGTAATTGTAATTGTGTCTTATCTGTGTATTCTTCTTATTTATTGTTGTAGTCTTCTTATTTATTGTTATTGTAATCCTGTAAAGCACTTTGAGAATCCACCTTTAAAGGCGCTATATAAAATAATGTTTATTATTATTATTAACTAAACCAATGAGCATTGTGAATACCACAACACAGAGCATTAGCTTCATGCCAGATTCTACCCTTAAATGCATGGCATCATGTTATTACTAGTGATTTTGTGCCATTGGAAAAAAGTAAGCAAATATTCAGTTATGAAAAATACTTCCCTCAATTTATTATTTTTGGTAATATGCTAGAATTTATTGACTGCTAACACACATACATGAAAAGTGTGACATACTGTACTGTATCTTAAAGTATGTACAGTACCTCATATCAGACCTGAATTAATATTTATTCATTTATTTCTATGATTACAGGATTCTTCTTTTTTTATTTCAAACACTCAAATAGCACACAACTAAATAAAAAAGTTTTTTTGTTCCTGAATTTTTTTTTTATCTAAGTGACAGTAATAGACAATGTTGTGTTTGTGGTTAGCATTGCTACGTAGATTTGGGATCCTGGATTCAATTCATGGAGTGCTATCTGTATGGAATCTGTATATTCTCCCAGTGTTTGTCTAGATATTCTCCCAATATTCTGGTTTCCTCCCACAGTCCAAAGACATGCTGGTATACTAGGAAAACTGTCCCTTGTATGAGTGTGGCTATGTCTGTGCTTGCCCTGTTTTGGAATGTCCATTGCATATCCCACTTGTGCCTATTGCTTGCCAGGATAGTCTCCAGCTCCACCACAGCCCTGTACTGGAGAAAGTGGTCAGAAAATGGATGCATGGATGGAATAAATAATATGAGAATGGAAAAGAAAGTAGCATGTGGTGGCAGGTATTGTCTTTACCAATCACTCCTTTTGCCTCTCACCAGCTTTGATGTATGCCAGCATTTTTGGGAATGTCTCTGCAATTATCCAGCGTCTGTATTCGGGCACGGCACGATATCACACTCAGATGCTGAGGGTCCGTGAGTTCATCCGGTTTCACCAGATCCCCAACCCCCTGCGGCAGCGCCTGGAGGAATATTTCCAGCATGCCTGGTCCTATACCAATGGCATCGACATGAATGCGGTGAGAATGTCAGCACATTAAATCACTCAGTTGCAGAACATGGTCAGAAAATAAATGATATATCTATTTATCAAGTTATTTCCTACGTAACATGCTCAGGAGTTCAGTACTCAGTATGATTGGTTAATTCTGAATGACCTTGTTTATGGTATAACTTATTGTACTATGTTGCACTATAAACATTCTTATATACATTTACAATGCTTGTCAAAATTCTGTACATGCTACAATATATACAGAAGAACTAGTGCAGAAAAATATTTCTTTTTCTTCACTATAATCTTTTCTATTCAACTCTGATCAAAAAAGTACTGGAGGCTTTGATAAAGTTGACAGTGCTTATTTGTACTTTTCATGATAACCTCTGCAGTTGGACAGTTCTATTGTGTGAGGTCTCATATATCAACTTAGAATACTTTCCATATCACAGTACCTCCTTTCCAGATGTGATTGGTGATTGGAAATGTGTTCCCAAGGTAGGAGTGCCATCTACTGGCCTCTCAAAAGTACTTCCAGTAGCACCTGAATTTCCTCTGATGTTTCACAATGAGCATACCAGGCATGTTCCTAGTATTATTCTGATAACTACAGTTTCTTATATTCTCATACTTGAATATTATATCACTGTTTGGTATTTAAAAAGGTTTCTAGGAGCAACCCTAACAAGCAAACGTTAATTCAGATTAACATTTGCTACTCTTCTTCTGCAGTTCATGATGAAGTAAAATCTTCCTCTTTTGCACCTTTTCTTAAAACAATCTAAAAAATGTTTTGTTTGACAGGGCATTCTGAGTAGCGCAAAAGAAAAGAATACTTACCCCAATGCATGTTGAGCTCTTTGATCACCGGTTCAATCCTGGATTGTCAAAAGTCTGGAAATGCCTTTTACAGAAGAGCTAGGCCAGAAAATCACGAGGCAACTGTAATTGGGATTCCCCAAATAAGGGACAAATTTGCAGTGACTTCAAGAGTAGAGTAGAATTATTTGGTCAGGGTTCTGTCAGCTCTTAGCAATGGAGAACGTGCAGGAATGTGGTGCTGTTGGCGAGGCATGTGCCTCCTCCAGTCAACCCTGAACCTCCAGTATGGGGGTAGTGTCTGTGACATGAGTTAAAAGATGAGTAGCACAACAGTTGGCAGGTAGGAGAACTGTCTGTCTGAGGTCAAAGGACTGGCAGATGCAAGAAAAGATGTGAAAAACACACAGCTGGTGGTTCCAAAATAAGGATGTTATTCAAAAAATAATTTGAGATTTTAATCATAATTTTAAATGTATGTTTTACCTTCTTTATTTCCTTGTCAGGTCCTAAAAGGTTTCCCAGAATGCCTACAGGCCGACATCTGCCTGCACCTGAACCGCAGCCTCCTGCAGAACTGTAAGGCCTTCAAAGGCGCCACGAAGGGGTGCCTGCGGGCCCTGGCCATGAAGTTCAAGACCACGCACGCGCCTCCCGGGGACACACTCGTGCACGCGGGTGACGTCCTCACCGCCCTCTACTTCATCTCTCGCGGCTCCATCGAGATCCTGCGGGGGGACGTGGTGGTGGCCATCCTTGGTAATTCATCGAGTTGAAGAAATATTTCCGCTTCCCCTTGAAAGACAGTCAGAACTCCATTTTAGAAGTTAAAAGAAGTATTTATTTCACGCACATGGGAGCGAAACAGTGTATTTTACTCAAAGCAATTAAACTAGAACAATCTTTTATTATTTTTCTATCACACTTCCACGTGCTTATCAAATTGGTAGCATTCCAAGATTACACTCACCTTCCTCTTCCGTATTTGCCAAATATAACACCTTTTAATTACAGTAGTTACTTAGTTTTGTAGCATTCCTACATTCCTATACTATACTGTACATTCCTACAGTATAGTATAGAATAATCATATAGAATATAGTAGCATAGAATAGTATAGAATTATATAGTAGTACTGTATAGCATAACATAGTAACTTTAGTGACCAGCAAACCAGTATTCCAGTTCAAAACAGTTCTCTATTTACATCCTATAAAATACTGGAGTGTCAGCCGAAAAGTATCTACAAATCTCACAACGACTCTCTCAACAATTTTCAGATTGATACACCTGAGTATAGCGTATGCCTTGACCTGTAGCACAATGAAGTTTAGACTTTTTAAAAATCGTCCAACATTTCATGTACGTCAACTCATTTGTGTCTAGATGGGTACTTGAGTGAACGATTTGCATTGTGTGCCTGTTACTAGAAACAACCACAAGGGCAACGAAAGGGAATACATAAAAATGACAATTTAAAGTATGGTTGTGTTTCTGTATACTGCTTGCATTCTACTTATCAAAGCAGCCACAGTATTATATTGGTTATTTTATTTTCATTTTTTAATTTTAATTTTAATTTATCTTGGATGTGCCATGTTTACTTTTTTTGGTTGAATTTGTGTTTTTATGCACAACCAGTGTTGTGCTTCTTATGATGTCCCATTTATTAACAAGAGTAATACACACTTTTCCTTTGAACATATGGAGTAGGTTGTGTACAGAATAAATATTACTTGCTCCATGTTGTTAATTGTTGCAAGATTTAAAGCCAGCAGCCATATCACCCTGCAACTCACAACTGAACTCACAAACCACTGAAGCTCAGCAGGTGTGAGCCTGGTCAGAACCTGGATGGGAGACTTCCTGGGAAAAACTAAGGTTGCTGCTGGAAGTGGTGTTAGTGGGGCCAGCAGGGGGCGCTCACCCTGCAGTCCATGTGGGTCCTAATGCCCCAGTATAGTGATGGGAACACTATACTGTAAACAGGTGCCGTCCTTCAGATGAGATGTAAAACCGAGGTCCTGACTCTCTGTGGTCATTAAAAATTCCAGGACGTTTCTCGGAAAGAGTAGGGGTGTAACCCTGGCGTCCTGGCTAAATTTTCCATTGGCCCTTATCAATCATGGTCTCCTAATAATCCCCCTCTATGAATTGGCTTCATTACTCTGCTCTCCTCCCCACTGATAGCTGATGTGTGGTGAGTGTTCTGGCTGCCATCGCATCATCCAGGTGGATGCTGCACATTGGTGGAGGGGAGTCCCCATTACATGTAAAGCGCTTTGAGTGGAGTGTCCAGAAAAGTCCTCTATAAGTATAAGCAATTACTATTATTATTATTATTATTACTATTATTACTATTATTATTAAAGCAACAAAAGGAGAAAACAGCAAGACACTGGATATAGAATTGGATGGCTTCTTCTGAAGTTTTAAAATATATAAAGGATTAACATTTCCCATACCATATAATCCATTAAATCTGAGCATTCCAAATAATGGGTAAAAAAATTCCAGTGAAAAAAAAACTTTCTTCAAACACATAGCATTGTACAGTCATTGCAAATTCTAGAACTGTTGGAATTGTGCAAAAAGTAACAAGGTTTTCCACTTAAAAACAGGTGTTAATTCAGTCCTGGGTATAATTCCATCTTAGGGCACTTGTCTGTTTGGAACTTTCATGTTCTCCATGGGATTTTGCCAGGTGATCCAGTTTTTCTCCCACTTACCAAAGACATGATAGTGAGTTCTAATACACTGATCTAAATTACACTTACAGACAGACCTTTCTCTAAATAAGCAGTATCATGAGATCTGAGCAATAACCCTTTACCACTTAATTAACTTATAATAATTATAAAACTCACCTTAAGTGTGACTACAAATATTACAGTGGTATTTAAGCTGTGCAGTAACTGCAATCGTTACTACAGTTGGCCTACCACAAACCCTTTTGTGCAGGGTGATAGGGAGGAATTCAATGGTGATTACTGTACATACTGTGCTTTCCCATGTTCAGAGGTTCTGCTTATCAAACAATGCAAAGAGCCATTTAATCTAATGTTCATTGTGTTGGTAAACTGGAAGTCAGTTATTTAATTGTGTAATTAATCAATATTCATGAAAGAGCGTGTTGATGACAAAAAAATCAAAATCAGTATTAAAACAATCAGTATTATAACATTTTTACTGTGTTCTACCAGAGCTCATAAAGACTTGGAGTTAAACCAAATGTGTATGGTTGGCACTGACTCATAAAGCTGAGGAAATTAAAGGCTTTATTGTTGTCATAATTTGAATTGTATTAACATGCTGCCAAAGAGCCTGAAAATGAAGGACTTCATGCAGATGTTCATTATAGTTGTGGACTTTCAATAATCAGCTTGACACTCATTCTCTCTGTTTCTCATTCCCACTTTAAAAGAAAGTACAGTAGGAATGAGTTCCACACTTCACTGGGAGTACTATCAAAAACCCAACATAGCAAATTAATATGAAAACAAACTCTACTGTACATCATAGTGCCTCACACAAACTTTCATTTAAAAGCTCACAGATTATAACATTTATTTCAAGATATTTTCTTCATTTAACATACACAGTTCCATATAACTTTCCTCTTCCTTCCATAATATTTCCCCTCTGAAAGTATTTTTATACATATGGAAAGCTGGAAATAATATTAATAAGTGGGCTGCTCATTTACATATTTATTCAAATTATTTAAGTCACAATAATATGCAATCTAGAGACTATTTAAATTATCACACCACACAGGAATAGGGCATATTGTTTGATCATCTATGGACAAACAGCTTGGTAGAGAGAAGTAAACAGTCTTCTTACAAGACAAAGTTTTATTCCACAAGTGTTAAAAACACAAAACACAGGGACTAGCTATTTTACAGGCTAATATGAACAATAGGAGAATGTTCTCAGGATCCATCATCTTATATTTAATCCTCTCCCACTATATACCCCTCATTGACCACACTAATGGACTTGGAAGTGATCATATATTTTTCTAAGGACAAGTAAGACTGTTTTCATAATCTAAATAATCCTCCAGAGGTGAGGTAAGGCCTGCCCTCTAAACCAATTGTAGGATGGAAATAATCTTTCTTTTCTAATAAAAATCCAGCTAAATGAGAAAGTGACTAACATTGTCTGGAATGAAAACAGCAAATAGTTCCACAAAAATGAAATGCAGCTAATTTACTTTTAATTTAGTCTAAGTCACTTCAATGTCTGATACCCGATAGATTCTGGTTATTAACAATGAATCCACTGAATTAAATGAATTCCTGATGCCTGGGTTACACTTACTATACCAGCTCATTTGATTCCAGTTTAAATATTCTGGCATACTTTAATGTAAACTTTCCTAGTAAATATGTTAGTCTAACTACTGTACATGGATAATTATCAGATTTATTAGGCACATTTACATTGAAGTATTAAAATAACTGCAATGAAAAGTATGAAATGAAATGTGACTTAATATTTAACTTTTGCTTCACAATTGTAATCAACAGATTTAAATTTGTGACTCTTATCCTAATATTAGAATTTTTAAAAAAAATCTATTTTGCTTACCATACATTTCTGTCTATACTTTGGACCAGGTAAGAATGATATCTTCGGGGAACCCATCAACCTGTATGCCAGACCTGGCAAGTCAAATGCAGATGTCCGTGCATTGACTTACTGTGACCTACACAAGATCCACCGTGAGGATGTACTGGAAGTGCTGGACATGTACCCAGAATTCTCTGACCACTTCTGGAGCAGCCTTGAGATAACCTTCAACCTTCGTGATGTGAGTTTACATGTGTGTTGCAGCACCTTACACTCGGTTTGACAATATGTTCAGATGACTGTCAAAATTAAGCCCTCAGATGAACTTTGAAATGAATAGCTCAACTTGCATAATATATATACTATAATATAAATTTGGACCAAACACAATACCTATCCATCACAGATCCTCCAGCAAGTTAAAGGGCAGAAGAGCCTATAATTTGTGGGCCTGTGGTCACTACTCGTCACTTACAAAACCAATTAAAATAGTCTCCAGTCAGAGAAGGATGTTTAGAATATTTTTCCTTAAACAAAAAAGCCTGAAGGCTAAAGGTACATAAGTTGTTGTGAAGCTGATGAAATACATGACTGCACATATGTGTGGGTTATTATATATTTATGTTTGCACCAACTTTCCAAGAAAGCACCACATCTTTACAAAGCTGTCATAATTAGTGGGGACTTCTCTATATTTACAGTAAGAGAAGGTCCTTCAGGGTTTTGCCCACTGAAAACCATGTCTGTGATGTGTGGATCTGGACTCATGGATGGTGGATATTCAGCCTGATCCTTTGCTCTCTCTTCTTCCAGACTAACATGATTCCAGGCTCCCCGAGCAGCGACGATTCAGACTGCGGCTTCAATCGCCTGCGTCGGCGCAAACTCTCCTTTCGCCGCAGAACTGAAAAAGGTACTAAAACATCTGTCTCTGTTCTCAAGTGACACCCAATTTTTTTTCCTTATAAGGAAACAAAACAATAAAATTGTATTCCATTCTCTGAGGATGCTTTTTATAATGAACAAGTGTATCATACAGTATTTACACATTCATAACACTATTAAAAACGGCTTTCAATTTGTCACTAAATTTTCCCTGTGTGCTTATGGCTGTGCTTTGTGATGAACTGATTTCCTCTTTAGGGTATATATTGAACACTGACTTTTCTTATTGGAGTTGGAAAGAGTATGCTTATATATTCCTCTGGTGAGCAGTACAGTAGTATGGCACTCAGCGCACTGCTACCTCATGACTTTTTGGTCTTGGGTTCAGTTTGGGGCTGCTTCTGTTTGAATGTTCTCCATTCCCCATTTGAAGTTTCCTCCCAAAGGTGTGAAGAGTTTCCACAACTCTCACCAGGACAAAAATGTAATTAAATGGAGGTATCATTCCAGTGCAGCTGCACCTTAAAGTGCGGATGCTGTGTTGTGTTATAGACTGTAATTGTTTCTTTGTGCAGATGATGAGGATGCTGGAGAAGTCAAGAAGTCACAGAGACTCTCACGCAAGGGAAGGAAGCATATAATCAACAACCAGAGCGAGGTGCGGAAAACAGAGTGGGAGGGGCAGCAAAATTCAGTCTCCTCCCCGTCTCACTCCAGTGGCGATGAAGGAGAGGAGCCTGTGATAACTGTCCCTGCCCCTCCCTCTGCCATTCTGGAGCTGTCTGCTGCCCAGGCCACGCATATGCACTTTGGAGACACACCAGAGGGGGATGGGGACCCAAAGACTGGCAACACCTGCAACGCATTGTCCGGTGGGTCCCTGTTTGCAGCAGTAATTTATTTCACTAAAGTCTAGGTGGAATAAAAATATTTCCTTCACAGGACCATCCTATCTACTTTATGGGCAAGCAGGGGCTGCTTTGCTGCTGATACAGATGTTAGATTTTATTAACATCTGTATCAGCATCTGTAAAATCTGTATCTAATAACGTTATTTATTATTAGGTTGTACACAATGAAAGAAGGCATATCTTTTTACTGTATACTGGCTACAGACGTAGCTCTTTACCAGGATGCACCAAAAATTCTGTTATGGAAAGAAATGAATTAACAGATTAAATGAAGAAATATTTATGGAAAATAAAATGTATTTTAAATAAAAAGCTACTATACAGTATATTAGATGCATATCTAACAAGATAGTGTAAGCAGGTATGGACAAGCTCTTTACAGCATTGCTGAAATGTTTCTACATACAGCCTTGGATCTCTATTAATGGTGTGCTATTTACATTACTTCAGCATGAGATAATCCAGTTTAAGAAAGAAAGTGCTTTGTACTATATTTTTTTACATTCAGATAAAATATATCAGGTAAAATAATATCAGTTAATCTCTCTTCTGCTGTTCTTTCGCATTCAGGGGCATTTTCTGGGGTTTCCAATATCTTCAGTTTCTGGAGTGACAATCGTGGGCGGCAGTACCAAGAGCTACCCCGCTGCAGCTTGCCCTCTCACCCTCCCCTCTCTGCTCCTCTGCACAGTATCACACGGCGTCAGAGGTTGGAGGTGGAGTCTAGGCTGGACCTACTGCAGAAACAGCTAAACAGGTGAGAGCTACACAGCTCAGACCAATAGTGTAGTGATTTGGTGGTGTAAATTTGAATTTCTTGGACTTGAGAACTTGGCTTGAAGCTACGTTTTAGAGAGGGAGAAACTTAGAAAGCCCATTTGCCTGGATTTTATAGCTGATACACTGAATATCTGTGGATATGCAGTGTAGTGACCTACTAAAAGTGCGATTTGAGCAATACATTCAAAGCTTTTCAGTTCTGTAAACCAGAGAATTGAGTTAAATGAGCAGGACTATCATACAATGCATTCTCTCCTGAAGATTGAAAAGAGCTATTAAAGTAAAGGTGTAAAAGTAAAAATGTGACCAGTCATGTTTTAATATGGCCTATCTGGTAATGTCAATGTTTTATTGAGAACTGAGCTCAAACAATTTCAGTTTAAGAGCTCAAAAGCTCCAGAGTAGGCTCTGCTGCCTAATTCAGGGTCACCAACAGATGCACTGCTATAAAGGTACGAAGCAAGGCCATGCCTACAGGATGTGTCATGGATGTCGGAATGGACGAACCGTGGAATGGCAGGAGAGCGGAAAAAGACCCTATGCGTAGCGGCGGGACGGGGGTTAGCCCGGGCTCAGTAGTTCAGGAAATGCCATATAGAAACCTATGCCCTCAAGCCGCGGACGGAGCGGCGACCTGGTACTTCGCTGGTCTCAGGACGTCAATGCTGAGGGAAGGAGAATGAGCGACCCAGAAATACATATCCCCTGACAAAGTAGGAGAGCCCTCTGGCTGCAGTGGACATGACAGATGTGCACTGCTATCAAGTTTTGGGTATGAGAATTACAAGTATCAAAGTAAACCACTGAGGTGCTACCCAACCATACGAGCATATACAGTATCAATTTTCAAAGCACTGGAACGTTGACTTTCTGAAGATGGACAGCTGTGAGAATGGGCTGAAGTGAAAAAACCTTTGCCAGTTTGTCAGTTTCTGAATTGTGTCATGGGTTGTAACTCAAGGGTGTTTAGACAAGCCCTGGAAAACCAGCATGAAGGCAATAGAAACTTAGGACTTTGCTTGTACTTTGTAAGGGTACATCCAAGAGGGGCAAAGCTATGGAAAGACTATACTGTATTTTTAAAGGTGGAGGCCTAATGGTGTACTCGCAGATCCATTCCAATTCTGTTGGTAAAATCAGAATTATTTCATTCTGTTCTGTTCTCCAGTAATTTGCCTGAATGCCATACTGAATTAGTGTTAAAAATGATTTTCAATATTTCTGTGTTTACAGGTTAGAATCTCGGATGACCTCAGACATTGGTGCCATTATGCAGCTGCTACAGAGACAGATGGTGTTGGTACCACCTGCATACAGCACAGTGTCTTCACCTCCAGAGCCAGCTCTTTACCCTTGTACTGCTGATAGGCTGGGGCAGCCAGTTATGCCCCTGGAGCCAGAGACCTTGGTATCACTCTCACAGGTACACAGAAACTGTGTGGGCATAAACACTGCAAAACACTAATATTATATATTTTCTTTTTAGTTTTACTATACTAATATATTAATGTTTACTAATAATGCAAGTTCATTCAGCCCATTTTACCTATTTACAATTGCTATATCCCAAATCATTCCCAAAGCTACTTCTGCTACTTCTTGATCCCAAAATACCAGGCAGTTCTAACATATTTTAATATAGACTTTGGTTATCTTTATATCCTGAAAGGCACTGATCTTGGATTAACTAATTTTATTTTAGCTGCACAAGTTTGTAACTTGTTATCTTGACCACAGAAGCAAGTCCCCTGTGTATAGAATGTAACCTTATTTTAATACAGTTATGTTGAAAATAATGTTCAGTTTTACCTCAAGCACTCACTTTGTCGTTGGATAATCTCTATGGTTTACTCTGTCAGTACTTTCCAGGATGTTAAAAAAGTTCCATAACATGAAAGATAAGAGAACAAATGCCTATATTCACTATGAATGTTTGGAGCTGCTACCTAACATTGATCTACGGATAAAATGCATATTTGCTGTAAAAGTTGTAAAACCTTACCTAAACACAGATGTCACCTTCCAGTCCTGTATTATGTATCAGTATTATGTCCAGGAATGTATGCTTAAGATGACCATACATGCTTATTGTGGCCATATTGCACTCACTCTGTACTATTCATTCAAAGAAGGAACATACCATAGTACTTCCTCCTTATGTATCAAACATAACTTGAAAATGTTATTATGGGACCCACAAGAAGCTTTTTATGCAAAGTCAAATTTCCATAAACCGAGTCTTATGTAACCAGTGGACTGGGATAAATATTGGCACAGACAATCAAAAACTTAAATATGCTGATTTCATACAGTAAGTATTAACCTCCTCCCCCTAGTCAATATCCGGTGGAAGTATCTGTTTAGAGAAATCTCTACCAATTTGGCTTTTCACATTAAAATTATGCTATTATTCACTTTTAAAAATTAGTATATGCTGTATAATCTGTAATGCAACAAAATGGTACTCTATTGCAAGGGGCTGAATCCATGTGCAAGGAAATATTTCCACATACTGTATTGTACTGCCATGCTATTTGAGATTTAACAACTTAATCCTGAGTGTTGTGTAATCTCCATTCTCTCCAGCTGTAACACTAAACTCCCATCTTCCCTCTTCTAGATCACTGATGTACAGGAGTTAAGTGAGATTCCACCCACATCCTGTGATCTTCCACTGAATGCTCTGGAGCAAAAGTCAGCGGATCCTCCACAAGGCAGCTCAGCAGAGAGACAGTGCCTGGAAACAGTCAGTCAGGATGCTCTGTGTACAGAGAGTCACAACGAGACAAAAGACAACACCAGAGACACAGAGCCAAAACGGAGGCTCTCTCTGCCTGAGCAGTACTCAGAGGAGCCTCAGGACTCACGGACACCACAAAGACACAGTTCTGACCCAGGAAGCTAGTTTTATGGCTGACACAGCTCTGTATTTCTTAGGCTCAGTCTAATTTTTTTTTCTAGCAGTCCTTTTGGCACTAAGCTATACTAGTGTTAAGCTGCTGAAAACCCAGCTCAGAGAATTCTGTAGTTGTGTTTAGATTCATGACTGGACTGCTCTTCCTAGTTTTTCTTAAATTCCAGGAAGTAATGAGGTGCCGAGGGAAAGACTGACTCAAAGACTGGAGGAGAGGTTTTGGTAGTTCCATCTCCATTATTAACACAGTGGAGAAGTAAACATTTAACTTTATCAATAAACTTCTGCACTAGGAAAGTGACTAGATAAGGATTTATAACCAGAGTACTGTGGAGAAGGGCAGCATCATTAGTTTTTTTATTTTATTTGGCTTTGACAAGATGAACGTAAGCATGGCATGGACCTCTGTTAAAACGTCCCTTTACTGCAATGCCAGGACTGGATAACTATGAAAAATAAAAAAAATAGCCATTATGTTTTGCACTGAAATTTCAGACACTTTATCTCTGTGGCTCCTGTAACACGTCCATGGCGCTTCCTGACTGGTACATAACCTGAAACGTGTTAGCTGGCCTAACAAGAAGTGGTGTCCCGTCCCGTCTTCAAACCTTCACTGCTCCTGCCTGTGGGGGGCAGGACTGCTAAGGCCTCAAGAGTCATTGTGTTGTGATTTCCCCCGGAATCTCTGTGTTTTTTTTGTTGGTCTGGGGTAATAGCCATGCATTCTTAATTAGCATATCAAACTCCTGTTGCAAACCTTGTACAGACTGTAGAGAATGGAGTCTTATACAAATATGCAAATAATAGTAAGAGAAGAATAAGTTATTTGATGTATATATCAGTTTTAGTCCAAAGGTGTGTACACATCTAGTTTGCCTTGTCTCTGGCTTATGAACTTGATGGTTTTACTCATTGAGGTGCCCCTTTTACCTCAGCAATCCAAGGAATCAAACAGCAATATCAGAGTCAGGGTTGTATTCCTATTCAGTCTTATAGTTCTTTGGTGCCTGCTGGATTTTTGCAGGGCCCAATGTCTGTGTGTTTTAGCATGACAAATGCCCTGAAATACCATTTTGTTTTCTTTCATTTTCCTCGTTAGCTTTGGATAGTCATATAGCAGTGAGGTCACTGGTTTGCCACAGAGATATGGGTTTCCAATTAAAAAAACAGGCTGAGTTACAGAGTAGCATAGAGCTAGCTGGACTAGCTATAAGGAGTTTTTACTTACAGTAAGTTTATCAGCTAAATTAATCTAATAATTACGATTAATTACAGACCTAAGGGCACTCCTACCTTAGGGCACTAAACATTTTTGCTCTTTGCTTTGTGAGGGTACCTTAATCTTATTCTAGTGGAGTACTTCTCTAATTCATTCAGGGAAGAGTTCAGTTTTCTGGATTTCAAATGAAAATCAGCCATGGAAGGTATACCAAATACGACAAGAACAATGCCACCGTGCAGATTGTCTTAATACTAGCACAAAATTTATAGTCCTATGTTTGAGTTTCATAGACATGAAAAAGGTTAGTTACCAATTGAATCTTATATCACATACTGTATAAATAACAAATCTAATCAGTTTCTCTGGAAAAGATATTTGAGACCTAGACAATTATTTTTTAATTATAAAGAAAGTAGATCAGCTGAGAACAAAATCTCATTTATGATGAAGACCTTGAGAGACATCATTGCAGCAGTGTAATTCACTCAAGCAAATTGAGTAAAGTACCTCACTCATACTGTAAGTACAGAGTACCTCACCCTTCCACTTAAGAGGCCTACTTAGATTGATCCAGAACCATGATTAATTTCAGAATAATAAGCACTTTATTACTTCTGTCTTGGGTATAAATCTATTTACAGTTCATCCTTTGTAAATGACATTGTAAAAACAAAATTCAAACTGTAACATTTACAGTATGTTTGCCAGGGGTGCATTTTAATGTACACATTCATGTTCAAATGTTCACCTTGTAACTTTTTGTTGAAATTCGATTAGGGAAATAATCAGCAAATATATTGATAAGAGTGATATTTCAAAAGCAGACCTGTCTTCCTAATGCTCAGTGATTCACACTCAGGCAGCTACAGCAGAGGCAACAATGTAGCAGACCAGCATAGGTCTATTTACTGAACGCTTCACTCAAAGATGTGTAGACTGACACAATCAGACATAATCAAATAGGATAATCTATTCGGAATGAAACAAATATATAATAGGAAAAATATTTGCAGCACTGTCAGTGACTTAATCAAATCAAAATTTAATTCACTTGACAGACTAACATTACAGACTAAAATTACAAAGCAGATGCAATTAATTTCTGTTTTTGTAAATACCTGTTCTCACTAACTTGAAACTCATCAGAAGACTGAAGAATGTAATACGATTTTGTTGATACATATAGTTCTAAAAGGGTGCTATAGGCTTTCATGGGTAGTAACTTACTGTAACACTGTTCACAATTCGTATCTTATCCCTTCAAGAAGGAACCAGTAAAACAGAACATAAATGAAAATTTAACTGATTTAATTGGCTTAACAAGATTTATCTCAAGATAAGATTACATCACTGGGTTTGATAAATACAAATGATGTACACATAAACATCAAGACCACTGTAGCATGAAGTACTGACATGATTAGCTCAAATAAGGTTAAGCATTAGGGGTTTTAATAATCACAGACCTTTAATTTTCCAGTTTGTGTACCATATGCAGATATCTGTGTGTTTCTGTCTGTCTAAGGGAACTGTAATTGAAAGGTTTCTTTCTTCAAAATTGCAGGGGTCCTTGGAATTGAATGTTTACAAGGGAAGTCTGAATGAAGTGTACTAAAGAATTCAACACATACCATCTAAGGTTCATCTGCCAGAGACAAAGATGATACTTACCAAATTACAAAATAATTTTACTCCTCTAATAATGTGTAAACCTGTGTATTTTGAGTGTGAGTCTCATAGAGTCTTGAGAAAGTCTTTAAGCACTAGACTGAAGCTTCTGCCCAGTATTTTGATTTATGGGGAACATCATGGGAAATCTCTAATTCACTGGGAAAACTCCACTGGCAAATATCAAGGCCCTATTTTTATTGTGGCATAACTAATCAATGTGCTACCAATTTAATGGTGAGTGATAACATGTGTTATAACAATGATTTGAATGATAATAAAGAAGTGGTAGTAACACATAGCCATTTCAGCTTCAGATTCATGACCTCAATGTAGCATTGGTCATGAATTGGCTATATGCTGCTGATGCTAGTGCATCATCCCAGCCTTCTGGGGAATGTTTAAACAGAGAGGATAGCAGCAAACATAACCTGGACTAGGTGTGTTTCACCTTAATCTCAGAAGTACAGATTAACCCCTTTTTACTTGATGGTGGGTAGCTTCAAGCTGTGGTGCTAGAAGACTTTCTGAGTTGTGTTCTATACTTTGTAGTGTAACTATGTACAATTCAGACTGAATTCATATCCAAAACTCTCAGTTTCCCAATAGTGGTATGGGTATTCTATCCATTCTATTGATTTTCAGAAATCTGAGGTAATCTCAATGATCCTGGGAATCATTCATGCAATTGAACATGATACGTCAAAATAGTAAATATTTTAACTTATAAAAATGCAGCAGATAACGCTGGTGATGATGGTAGTGGTGGTGGTTGCTGTAACACAGTTTAAGAAGTCAACTTGAGTATCACATCTTGTCAACTGCATTTCATTAGAGATGTGTCTGGATACGTATTTTCTTTTTTAATGAAGACAAGATGAGATCTATTTAGAAAACAAACAGACTTCTTTTCTTCTTGATTATCAAGAAAAGCATATGAAGCATTTAAAAGCATAACATCTTGTTAAATGTGGGTGAAGGGTTATGGACCCATAAAAGTCTAGGTTATTAAAAAAAAACTGCACCAGTAAGGAAGTGACTTCAGAAGTGATTACAGGTGAAGGAACAATACTTGACCAAAATTGTGCCAGAGCACTGATCCACTTAATATACTTCAACTTCAACTTACATAAATCAAAGGATTCATGAAATACCAAGACTCACCCACTTCACAGTGATTCTTCAAAAAATGGGACATGTAAAACCTAACTACTGTTTTTCCTCAAAACCACCAGATTCCCTCTAGCCCTTTCTGTGGAATGAATTAGAATTCATTAAATGACCACTGAAAAGCAGAAGTACCTATCAACAGTACCCATTCTGCATCTTTCATCACTATTTTAAAGCTCTGAACTCTGAGTGAAGGCCAGAACTAGATCTTCTTAAATACTTGATCGGTTAAAAGAATGAGATTCAGAAACAAGTGAGGGTTTTAGAAATGCATCAGTGCTGAATCGTACGTCTGCTGTTTTCCATGTACATAAGAGACTCTTGTCAAGAGACTGACCTTGGCACTTGTAGCCAGCATTATGCAGGAACCTACATTCCTGTGGCATGCTTAAGAATGCAAACTGTAGAAATTGCTGTTAGTGATTTAAATGACAATGATAAATCTCTAATAAAACTACAACTGTGCACATTTTAATTGCATGCTGCACTAAATATCTTCCAAAAATATGAGAATAAATAAGCAATGAGCTTGAAGAACTGTGTGTAGGGTTGAATATCATCTGTATAGGAGACATATTACAATGTAAACCACTGGGAAATAAATATTGTGAACTTCTGTATATCTTGCCAAGGAGAAAGCTGATTTTAAGACAGAGTTTTGAATTCAACATAGTATTCTCATTAATGTCAGCTTATTCAGGCAGATACCAGCTAAAATACAACAGACAGACTCCAGTATTGGTTTAACGATAGGGTTACAAGTTGTTGATTTTTCATTTTTTTCATGTTTATTGAAAATAAACCTCTTTGAAAACAAATGCTATGTAAATAATGTTGTAATTCCAAACTTCAAGGCTTCCAACTGATGTGTAAATTCTGTCTTTCCTTTTTTATTTATACAATCTCTATGTTATTTCATACTGTATCCTTGTAATGTCACATTTTGGGACATTTTTATCTGGTAAACAGTTGCTTAATACTAGAAAGAACTGTATAGTAAAAAAAAGCATGCAACAACATCCAGTTTAATTAATAATCAAATTACAAAATGTGACAACTTGTACAAATATTCCAGTTGCTGTAAAGACGCAGCTCTGATGATTAGAGTAATACATCAGGCCAAGATAAGACAACCCATATACTGTATTAACAAATAACACCACTACTGCAAACAACAGCAACACTATTGTACATAT